CCACAGCTGGAGTAGACGCATTCGCAGCCTCGTAAAACGGAGGACAGCAGTTGTAGCTGCTATCAGGCCCAGAAGGCATTGAATCTGGAAAGCAGACGATGTGTCCTGGAGCCGAACTTGTTCTGCAAGAGCAGTCAGGGTCAGGGCTCTGTCCTGTGGCAGGAAAGCTCAGCCTTCTCTGGAGTCGAGTATCGCCCCTATGAACTGCACTCTTTGAGAAGGAGCCAGCTGTGACTTTTTGTGGTTGACCTGGAGACCGAGGCAACAAAGGACATTGAGGGCCTGGGATATATGGTAAACAAGAAGATCCCTGGAAGGTGCGACCAGAAGCCAGTCGTCTAGATACAGGAACACTGTCAGGCCACAGAGGCGGATATAGGCGTTGAGGCCGCAAACGTCTAAGATCGGCCTCTGCCCGTCGTCCCTTTTGGGTACCACGAAGTACCGGGAATAAAAACCGAGTTCTTGGTGATCTAGAGGTACGGGTTCTATAGCACCCTTCGATAGAAGTGTGGTGACTTCTTCGAGGAGGAATGACGACGGGGAAGTGGTGACGACTATAGGAAGAGGTGAGAGTTCCATGAATTCAATAAAATAGCCCTTGGCTAAGATGGAAAGGACCCATTGGTCTGACGTAATGGTGGCCCAGGCCTGCAGATAGGGATGGAGGCGGGTAGGGTCGGAAGAGGTAGACAAATGGAAGTCAAAGGCCCTGCTTGCCAGGTTTAGGTTGTTTAGGTCTGACAAGTTGCTGTCCAGAACCGTATCTTTGCTTGGTCTGGTTCTGCTGCCTGTTTGCAGACGGAGATCTACGTGGTCTGTAGCCTTCGTCAGGCGACGGTTTAGTGTATTGACGCCTGGAGCCGTAACAAGACCAAGAGAGAGGACAAAAGGGTTTAGAGGGGGCAGATACCCCCAGCGACCTCGAGGCCTTAATGCTCTTATCCATGTCCTGGAGTGTCAAATCAGTGGACGCATGAAAGAGCCCCTGGCCATCGAAAGTCCTCTATGCACGCCCTGGTGTCAGCAGGGAGCACAGTGGTTCTAAACCAGGAATACCTACGCAGGGCAACTGCAGACAACATTGTTTTGGAAAACGTGTCCAAAGTATGTTTGGAGGAATTGATGATTTGTTTAGAGAGCAGCAAGCCTTCCTTTTCCAGCTTCCTGGCCTCCTGAGGACAAAAGGTCGGTAAAGCGCTCCCAGAGTGAGTACTGGTAACGTTCCATGCAAGCAATATAATTAGATGTCTTAATCCTGAGAGCTCCAGCTGAGTAGAAATGGCGAACAATGGAATCCAACTTCTTGCTCTCCTTATTGGAAGGGGTAGCAAGGGTATGTTTATTCTTTGAGGTGGATGACACGACCATGGGCTTGGGGTGAATATGGAGGAATTCAGCCTCCGTCTCTTGGACCCGATACATACGATCCAGACGTCTGGAGGTCCTCGATGTCGGGTGGCGATCGCTGAAGAGGGGTCATTGCAGAGCCTTTTTGCACTTTCTCGCCGCTCAGACTCTGAGACTTACGCACAGTGCCAGTAAGAGAAGACTTAGTTTTCACATGCTTCTCTTTTTTCTTCTTTTTGGCTGGCATAGAGGTGGAAGAGGCCTTGTTTGATGCTGAGCACTTAGAAGATGCCCCCCCGTCTGATGCCAACTTTGCAGGGTGAAGGGGGGTTGATGCTGGTGCACCTCCCGATGTCGACAGGAGTGTCATCGGTTGGTCGGAAGGGGTCTCAGCCAACATCTTTCCGGCAGGCAGGGGGGTCAGTGTGGACTTCCAAAATGCCACTCGAAGCCTCGCAGCTCTGTTCTTGCGGGTCTGATTCAAGAACTTCACGCAATGGCGGCAAGCATCTGGGCGATGCGCTTCTCCTAGATAGAGAATGCAGAATGTGTGGCTGTCACGGGGGGCAAGTTTGCTGCCACAGACAATACACAATTTAAAACACCCCCACTTTTCAGCCATAAAACAGCAAAAATGGCCCCGAAATGAAAAGAGGGCTCTCCTTTGAGACGAAGTAAATTTTACCTCGGGGGTGGGGGGGAGGCGGGAATCCGCCTGAGGGGCAGCGGCCCTCAGAAAAAGTCTTTTTGGGGGGTAAAGAACAAAATAAACATAGTAAAAAGGAAAAAGAAGAACGATTTGGATAATCCCTCATGAGAGGAAAATAACGCTTCTTCACCGACCGGCAGGAAACAAGCTGTTAGTGCGGCGGTCAGAAGAGAACTGGTGGTGGGCTTCCAGTTTATGGCGACACACTAGAGGACGCCTCTCCTGGACCTCCTGGGGAAGCGATCCGCGCGCCAGCAGTTGGGAGGGGGGGTGATTGTTCGCCACCCCCCCCCTACCCCCCGGAGCCTTTGTGAAAGGCTCCTAGCCATGGGGCTTTGAAGGGTAGCCTCTTCACCAGTGCGTTGCCGGAGAATTGAGGTGCTCTTCCGCCCCAACGGTCCTGCCGCTGCTGCGTCCATAATGGAACCAGAGCTGCCGACCGGGACAAGCGTCGGAGATCGGGCATATAAAACGTACCTTGAGCGAGGTCTCCGAACCACCAATTAACAATGAGTCAAGTAAAAGCCAAATGCCGGGAATTTAAAAGAACCCCCCCCCCGGGAATGACGGGACGAGTGAGCGAGTGCGGGAGGGGCCCCTCCCTTACCCATAAATATAACAGCGATTTGCCAAGGGGGAGCTGAAGTTTAAGAGTTGAAATCTGTTTTAAGAAATTAACCAGAGCACCAATAAGCATTTGGGCGAATTTCAGAGACTTTAGCAAGTACTTTAAAAAGTAAACAATCCTCAAATATGGCGTGGAAAAAAACAGAGAAAGACAAACAAGCAAAAGTGAAGCCACTGGGGAGTATGAGTCCGCGACCGGAAGATACCACTGAGTTTTCAAAACTGTTAGCGGACTCTTTGCGCCCTCTACTGGACCAGATGACGAGTATCAATCAACAGCTGACAGCATTAAATTAGAATCCTGCAGCTCAGCAGCTCCAACTGACTTAAACTACAAAAAAGACGGAGCAAACAGCTGAGAAAGTGAAGGAAATGGATGCCAAATCTAAAAAGGTTAAGAAAAAGGTTCAAATGCTGAGGGAAAAGCAAGCTTCAGACGAACTTCAACTTTTGCAGCTACAAATGGAGAAAGCTAACTTAGTCCTCCTGTTCCAAGGGGTCCCGGAAGCAAAAGAAGAGAATCTAAAGCAACTTTTGAGTGATGCGTTAGCTCCAGTTACAGATTTAAAAGCGGAATATCTTGTAAGCGAAATGGATGTGGTTTATAGAGCCTATTCTGTTTATATCAAGAAAAATATTCTGCCTGGAGAGATAGTGGTTAGATTCTTGAAGAGACATGTGAGGGATCAAATCCTGAAAGCAACTACAGGAACGCCCTTGAAAATTGGAGGAAACATTATCAGGATTCTAAAAGACATTCCATTTAAAATAAGGAAGAGGAAGAAGTATAAATACTTGATTCTGTTTTTGCAAACAAACAGCATTTCCTACAGATGGTTGACCCCCGAAGGCGTCATTTTCAAACTGCAGGATAAAAAAGAAAAAATTTACTCCGTTTCCAAAGCATGTGAGTTCCTGAGACTGCAACTGGGAGAGTCAGGAGAGGACGGCAAGGACGAAGAAGACAGCAAACTCAGTGATGAAATGTACTTCCGACGAGGACTCTATTTCAGAAAAGGGGGCGGCAGCCCCCAAACGAGAATATCAATTGAGGATTAGAAAAGATAAAACAAAATGAAGGCTGAAGAACTCTGACCTGTGCCTTGAAGTTTTTAACGATGCTCTTGTGATTTTCTTTAAACAGTTAAAATAATGGTTTTAAAGATAAATAATATAGCTTAATCGACCATTTTCAATGTAATCTTAGCATTCTAGACTAACACTGATACAAGCTTTTGTAATGATCTCCTATACTTGGGTTTTTAGTGGTTTTCTTTCCTTTCTCCCATAGATGTAGTTTCCCTTCCCCTTTTTTCATTGTAGTTTATAGAAAAATGCAATAAAAAAATCCCCAGGGGGGGGGGGAGCACAGAGACCATGAAGAAGATCTACCCCACCTCCTTGGGCATGCGCAGTGGGGTTCCCGCACATGCCTGGGAGAGAGGTGCGAAAATCCCTTTGTGAGCTTTGCATACCACTGATTCAGATCAGTGCAGGTGCATAATCCCATAAGTATGATGCACAGAGACCATGAAGAAGATCTACCCCACCTCCTTGGGCATGCGCAGTGGGGTTCCCGCACATGCCTGGGAGAGAGGTGCGAAAATCCCTTTGTGAGCCTTGCATACCACTGATTCAGATAAGTGCAGGTGCATAATCCCATAAGTATGATGCACAGAGACCATGAAGAAGATCTATCACTGTCTTCTCCTGAGGCAGACCTGAACTAACCCCTGCTGTGCTTACCTCCAACATTCCAACCCCCCTCAGAAAGGCAACTGGATGCAGCAGCAGCAGTACTCCAATAGGCTCAGCTGAGTGACTGGTTTTCCCTTCAGGGGTAGGAGTGTGTCCTGTCTATCACACTACTACCCAAAGGTCAAAACAATTGCAGTTCTTCAAAATCTCAACATTAATTTAGACATTAAAAAAATCTCACAATTTGGATTTTTTCTTTTAAAGCCTTGTGATTTCTGAAAATTCGGAAAACAAGTTTTCCCTTAAAACACCCAACAGAGTTCTGAGGTCCCATATTGTGCTGAAAGTGCCATATAAATTAGGCCTTATGTGCTTGCTCCTGTGAAGCTTCTTCTGCAAGGTTCATTAATATCAGTAATATCCACACTAAGTTTTACATCCTCAGAAAGTGCAAGCTTTATTAAAAATTGCACACAGTCTTTATTTTAACCAGTCAGAAGGTTTACCCAGAATGTCAGCCATGCAAGAATTTATGTAAAGGGCAATTTTTCAGCAGATCTAATATTTTCAGATACTGACTATCAGAATAAGATCAAAGGCTGTAGTTTTTACATACCAGGGCTGAAGAGGACAATTGCTTTCAAGTAAGCAAATTCATAACCATCCAGACAAAGCTTTACCATGCTGTTGCAGAACTCCTGCAGTTTGAAGATATGTTCCATCACAAGCTTTCCTCTCTCTGCCGACAGCTTATCTGGTTAACATAAAACAATCCAAATGTAATAAGGATTTTCTTAGTGGTTGCCTAATTGGTTTTAACAGATGCATGTCTTCAATAAAGATTGATTTAAAGTTTAATTTAAGCTATGGCTGAATTGTTTAGGCCTTTAAAAACTAGTTCACTGCACTTTTATCATGTTTGTTGTACAGACAGTTTTAAATTCTTATAGTTGGACACTTAAGCAGCAGATATAAAAAGGAAAGACAAATAATCTGAACATTCATCCTATGTGCTCTGTGCTTCAACATGTTATAAAAAATTACATGACACCTAAATGGATAATCCCTTAAACATGTTTTTTGAGCCCAAGCTGCTATCCATTGCTCTCAAAATTTGTTGTGTACATTTAGTTTTACTGTTCTTCCTCAGTTTCATCTCTTTTAAGATACTGTGGCACAGAGACAGTGGTTGAGCCTAGATGAGGGCCAAGCTTCTGGCAGCAGTTCCTCCAGGACAGGGCGGGGCACCACTTGGGAAGGCAGTAGCAGCCTGATGACCCCACCAGGAGTTTGGCTGTACCACCTGCAGAACAGTCTCCCCTCCACCACCAAGCAGCTGATGAGCAGAGCAGCTGAGGCAGGAGGTTTGCCAGCCCCGGTCATTTGCTGAAGGCACAATGAGCAGAAAGGGTTTCTGACTAGCCCTATGCAAACCTAGCTGGGGTGGGCCAAGGCAAGGGAAGAGGGTAAGAGATGAACAAGGCTCAGAGGAGGAAGGAGTGGTAGTGGGCTTGGCCCCAGGGATAAAAATGGAGATGTCAAAAGAGACAGGGGAGGAAAGGAAAACAACTTGCCCGGGAAAGGCAGAGAAGAGAGGAAGAGGAACCTAGAAGGGGAGCTATAGCCTTGGGCAAGATAAGACAGCCAGACCTGTGTGGCCCTGGTGTAACTGACGTCTGGCAGAGGCACAGCTCAGCCCCCTGTGGTTTTAAAGGGTTACAGCAAATGGGTGAAGCGCACTGTATACATGTGGATACCTGTGTGGACTGTGCTCACAGCAGAAGGAGCCCCACTGAATCTGGGTGAGTCTCTGCTGACCATGAAAGACACTAATGATGTCCTGCTGCCCCCTGGTGGGGCCACAGATATATCTTAGAATGTAAGCTTTCAGGGAAGGCCACATTTTAAAAATAATTTTGTAAACCTCCTAATGATATTATGCAAGAGAGGCAAAGAATGTCAAAAGCTATCACCCAGGGGTCATTTGGGGGGGGGGGACGCGGGGGGACGCCATCCCCCCGGGTGAGGTGCGGGAGGGCGGGGCCTGGAGCTCCCTGCTGGTGCCCGCTGGAGGTCACCGCCGGCTGTGGGGAGGACACACTTCCGGTGATGTCAGGGGGTGTGGCATATGCTAATGAGTTATGCTAATGAGTCCCCCTAGCTCTTTTTCTACGAAATGACCCCTGCTATCACCTACACTATATCCACACCATTTCTTCAGAAGTATACACTGCATTGGCACTATGTGGAAGAATAGAGATTTCTAAGTTTTATAAATTAGCCTAAACTGGAGAGGTGCATATTTAGAGATCATCTATCAACTTGATATTATTTATATATCACTATTAACTAAGCCTTTACCAGTTAACAATGATACTAAACAAAGTTAAGGCCCTTCATACAAATTCTGAGGCTTGTAAACATGCATCTTACCTTGCTGTAAGCTATTATGAAGGTGATTAACAAATGCAGTTAATATAGTTGCTACATTCATCACTTGTGAACACTGTGCAAGACCAAGAGTAAAGAGTTCATTCCAGCAGGCTTTCACTAATGATATGCTGTTGTCTTGTCTAAGAATAAAGAACAAAATTATAGTAATAAAAACTTACTGAACTTATTAAACTGTTGAGTTCAACAGTTTAAATATGCTCATAAGAATTTTTTCACCAGGAAAAAATTACATTCTTGGCATATACATACACCGTATTAAATGCATGTCCATTCTGAAAATTCTCCAGTTAGAGAAGATTATGAGAAGCCTGTACATGCAGGGATCTGAACGTTTAGGTTAACAGGTCTGTTTAATACAACTGCCATTTTTGACTTTACTGACATTTCTTTGCAAATGTTTGAAACATTATGGAATCAAGCATGCTGAGTTTAAAAATAAAAACACAACTACATTTTTATTCATGGTTTCTGAGGGATTTTAAAGAGGATTAAACTATGTTTTCTGGTTTAAAAAAATACCCAATAGGAAATTTGCACAGAGTTTCTGAAATGCATTCCTGTAGTGCAGTTTCTCTGTTATGACTCTCACTGTACCACTAGGTGCAGACAATGAACCTGCAAATACCAGATATGGAGGATTGCTGCGAGATGCCTTTCATTAAATCTTTTTTGTTGTTGCTGTTCTTAACACATAGTGAACCAAATCTAATAGGGTCAATGTAAATGTGGGAATCTGAACACGAATCTGTGTCCTAATTTGGCTTATAATAACCATACTATCATGACTTGCTTGAATACTAGGAAAGTCAAGCTTATTTTGTTGAAAGAAACAACCCTCATTTTGTCTTTTTGCCACTATTAACAAATCTATAAACTACTGTGGCAAAAAGATATGCATAACACAATGCTTTGGAAACATGCACATTTTCTTATGTACATAACATGCTTGCATGTATGTTGCACAGAAACAACATAGAATCTACACAAAATGAAACAGCTCAGTCTAAACATTTTGCATTGCAAAGGATACTTCCATTACTAAGAGGAATGTATTTCTGAAAATCATATTAAATAAACTTTTCAATACTCACCCTAGAGCTTGAAAGGAAGGAATGGACCGTGCCCAGTGCATAGATAAAAACAGCAATCTAGATGCCGATTCACAAATATAATGAACATTCAGGTATTCAGGCATAGGAGAAGGCATGGTGAGCTGCCACAAAAGAGGTGCATTTAGACATTAATCATCTTGTGTCTCAAATAAATTATATTCTATTAGCAATTTAATATTAAACTTTGCAAATAAATTGACAAAAGTTTTAGTGTTATAATATAAAAGATACAAGACTGGAAAACTGCATGACTATTTCATTTACTACAATTCATCTCTATAGATACCTTGCAAACTAAAAAAAACAGGCAAATGTAATTTAAATTCTATTCCTTCCACAAAGGATTACTGCTTGGACACCAAGATTGTCTTCTAATCAGGGAAGGCCTGATTCAAAAGGGCAGGGGAAGTGAACAAGCAAAACTCAGTGAACAAGCCAAACAGGTCTTGATTAAAAATGGGTATGTTCATCTGGATTTACTAGTTTGAATTACAAAGATCTCTGAGAAATGAGGTTGCGAAGGTGCACAGAAACAACGCCTGATGTTTAAATAGATCCTTACATGAGTATCCCCACTATGTGGTCTTCTTCCCATAATTAGTAGCAACAACTGCCAGAACTTGAGTTCCTAGTTATCTCTAATAAAATCAAACACTTTCCCCTCTCAGTTACATTTTTGCATTTTCTACAACCACAGCACCTCCTGTCCTTATTCTACTCAAAGCTTCCTATTATAGTGCTGTCTACATTCCTATGATCGCCTTGCTTCCTCTAACCCAATCTAAAGTGGTCTATTTTTCCTGAAGTCTTTCTTCTCAGCAGGCAAATTCTTTTCTAACAATATATGATCTAACCAGCAATGCACAAACAACAATAATGGATTAAGAACTGTGGTCTCTGATTTGATTTGTGATATATGAAAGCAGTTGCCACGTAACAATAATGAAAGGTGAATGATAAGATCGAATACTAGGATTTGCTTTGGATAATTCATAAACATCCTACAGTGAATTATTCACAATGTGGCATCTCATTTTGCAGTTCACTAAATCAATCCCCAAAGCCACCACGGTACCTAGTTTTATGAAGTGTAAAGATACCTTTGTTATTACTTATCTGTTGTGTCTGTATTTTTTCTAATTTATGCTAATGCTTCTGAATGCTTTTGACAGACAGCAGGATTTAGGTATCTCACATACAAGAAACACTCTACTACTCAAGTACCAGTCTGAACAAATATTTGCTGACATCTGTTTGTCATCCTTATTCCTTAAAAATGCATATTACCACAATTTTAAAAGCATCTATACAGAGGTTAAATGTTGTAATAATTATCAATAAAGACATATTTTAAAGTACCCTGAAAGCTACATGAGCATCGCTGAGAATTGGGCCCTCTATTTCAACAATATTCATGCTAGCTTCTTCACCAACGAGACGTGCACTGGCTTCCATACTTTCTGCAGAGCTCTGACATGATGCACTTTCTCCAGGATTCAATGCTTTCGCAAGAGTATCAAATGCCCTGAAACAAGAAACTGACAACTATAAAAACACTGAAGTTGGGAAGGCACACAAAAGAAAGAGAGAGAAACTGAATTTTTTATTATTTGAACACAGAGGTTGGCGGTGTTCTACTTTTATTTTGCACAAAAGAGCTAGTCGTTACAGGTCCAAAAACTGCCTGGAAACCAAATTAAGAAAGGGGATAAATTGTGATTCCTAAGAATGTCTTATCCTGAAGCACTGGTACAAATATAAAGACAAGACCCTAAGAATATAACCCCCCCCCTTTCTTAAGCACACAAAGGTTGGGGGCCATGGACAAAGAAATCACCAGTACACTGATCATTATTGTACTCATAGCTTCTTTTAAAATCTCTCTTATATATAAATCCTTCTGGTGTTGGCACTCTCCAGAACATTAGACACACTCCCGAATTGGTGGGCGCCCTAGTGTATCAGTCACAGGGTGTCTGTCTCTACTGGCTGCATTGCTGCCTCTGTGGGTGTGGTCCCACCCACAAGGTGGCACCCGGCATCTTGGCCTCACTCTTCTTCGAGCGGACGGACAGGCCAGACGCTCCAGCGACTGGGGGCCTCAGCCCGATTGTGCTGCCGCCGCGGGCGTCGTCTCCCAAACATGTGTAGCCAGCTGCGCTGTGCGCAACCCAATGTCAGATCCTGCTGCCGCCGCCACCCTCACCCGAACACACATAGCCACCCGCTGCGTGCGACCCGATGACAGATGGGCCGGCCGCTCCAGTGGGGGGGGGCTCGGCCTGATCCTGCCGCTGCCCAAGCCCGGCTACAGGTTGCCAGCCGGGCTGTGACTGGACAACGGACACAACGAGCTTTGCTCCTAGTATCATGATAAAAGAACAATGATGTATGCCCAGAATTCTTCATCCCTGAGTCAGCTTTAGAAAAGGAAATGTATTTTTATCATCTTGACAACACCCCTGATAAACACAGTGGGGAAAAATTCAACTGCAGTTACAGTGGTGTTGAGAACTGTGGTAAGAATTTTCAGAAATATAGAAGTGTTTGGGTTTAAAATGAACCAAATAAGTATGAAATCCATATACAATATCTGGCTCTGCCCTTGCTAGAAAAAAAAAACAGGCTTGACCTTTCTTTCACTGAGGAGGTAACATATTCAATTCCCAGGGAAACTCCACAGATGTGAAACTTGCCAATAACCCCAATTTCCTAGACAATAAGATTTGTGGTCATTTGACCAGCTGGCAAGACAAGCTAATTCCCTGAAATACAGAGGGTTCACACACACACCCTGCTTTCATCTCTCTGATAAACATCAAAGCACAGTTTATTTCCCTGATTGGGGAACACCTGGAAGACACTGTATTGATCCTTTTGGAACGTGAACTCTTGTTGTGTGCAACCAAGGAAGGAAAACAAAATTTCCTGTAATCTCAACTTCTAGGAAATAATTTTCAGATAGGCAATTTCCACCTCCAGATGCTAATTAACACCTGATATAGTCATCAAAAGAACTCCTTCTTTGATCTCTGGTATAAATATGGGGTGGTTTTACAACAGAGTTCAGCTGACTCCAAAGGAGACAGCCATAGAGAGGCCTCTCGACGCGCTTGCATGGGGTGGGGAAAACTTTGTTTTGCATGTTTATTTTTCTGTGTGTATGTTTAGGATCTAGGACTCTGAATGTTTTGCTATAATAAAGATAAGTTTTATTTTAAGAAGAGACTAGTGAATTCCAAGCTTGCACTTCTGCCTTTGGTAAGGGGCGACACACAGGAGACACACACGAACTGAGGGGGGAGTGTGGGTGACATGGGTAAGCATGCTTTCACAGACAATGTGCAGACACACACCCACACATCCAAATATCTCACAACAAGAACATTCCTAATTATATGCATGTGGATACCAAACATTTTACCAATGCTGCTTTGAAATGGTTTCAACAATAAGTGCCTTCTGTAAATTTGACTCAAAGGGGTAAGTTTCAAATATTAGTAGATAACTGATTTAAGTTCTATCCCCAACTTGCTATTTGCTAACCAGGAACAGAAATACCAGTGCAATTCCATGTGCATGCACGTGGAGTTTGTAATCTTCATCCTGTCTTAAACTGCTGTTTGGGAACCTCTGATTCCAAACCAAGTTGAGATGGAAGGACATCAGACCTAGTGTTAGACTCCACATCCTTGCACTGCGAATAGCTGACCATACTTAACTACATGAATGGTTTGAAAGCCAGGTTATAGTAGTGGTTAAATGAGTCAGATTAAGATCTGGGAGACTCAGGTTCAAATCCCCATTTTCCCACGTTTGTCCTTAGACCACCTATAGTTTTCAGATTCTACCGTCCCTTACCTTGAAACATCAGTATTTGCATGTTCATCTTGCTGCAGTTCAGACAATGATGCATCTCCATTGCTTAAGCTTTCTATCACAGATAGGTCAGGACTACTTTGAGACATTTCTTTGGACTTGCTTAGACTTGCTAATGATGTTACCACATTTGCCAGCGTACTTAAATCTCCTTGACATGTCTCAACCTAAAAAAAAAAGGTGCAAAATTTCAACTGTCTTTTACATGAAGTAGTTTTGTAGAACCTACAACACATAATTAAAGAAACATAGCCACAAGCAGTATTTAGTGAAACAGTGTTATGTATAATCTTCTCATAAATTTATTGATTTGATGGTTTTTACACAGAAGAATGTACAAGAAGCTACCAGAGTACTACAAATAACTGATGAAAATGTATTCATCTGCCCACACATCGGCTTTTACCTCATCCTGATTAAATTATGTGAATTATATAAATGAATTAAAAAGGCATTACTGGAAAAATAAACAGTAGTAGCAGTCAAGTCTGTTCAGAATGACAACAGGTAGGAGAGGGCTAAATAACTGAAATAAGCTGGTATGTAAAATATTAACAACATGGTAGATGGCAGAGATGTATGAGTGTGAAGTATACGAAATCTTCTCCCTAAACTCAGTTTATCTCCCAATTCCCTTTGTTGCTGAAATCAAACTGCCCTCCCAGCTGTGCTTTCTATGTGATTGGGCCAGATCAGTGTTCCAATATACAGGTCTGTTTGCCAACCTGCCCAGTTAGCTCCATTCACAGTTAAAAGTGAAAGCAAAAATATTCTTTTTTTTTATTTAAGAGCTTTATTCCCTCTCCTAAAAAGGAGAGATATTTCGCTTAATTGGAAAAAAGGGAGGGTATATAGTGGGATCAAGAGAAAGCTGAGTGATGTTTTAACTAGTATATTAATCTGTTAGTACTATTAAAATTTTCTTCTTTGGCTTCTTCAGTGTGTTGTCAAACTTCTTTCTTCAAACACATTTTCTATGTTAATATATTAGTAGTGTCCCAATGGTGCTCTGTTAATAAAGTCTTTTCAAATGCTTTTCGAACCGATCTTCTAGGGACTGGCTTCACCTCCATATTCAAGAAGGAACCTCTTCCGCTTAATTCTCTCCGGCTTCTCGTCACCTCCTCCGGGTCGCTGTTTTCTCTGTTTACAAGCTGCCAATGCCACAATCCTTGCTCTGTCGTGCCTTTTCAAAAGGTCTTTGGCTTTGAGAGTGGATTTTCCTTTTTCTAGCTTTCGCTTAAGTTTAAACGCTGCCGCTCTCTTAGCCAGACCTTTCCTCCGCAACTGTTGACTTTTAAAAGCGCTTTTGAGGGCACTTTCTCGCTTGTCACAGTGTTCATTTCTCACAGTTCCCAGTCACTCGCAGTCCATTTAATAAACAGCTGGCTCATACAAAAAATAAAACGCCCACGGCAGAAGCTCCTCCCTTCTTGTTCGCTAATTTTTCAGTCCAGATCCGACATCTTGTTTTGTTTTTTTGTTTACTTTTGTTTAAGTTCATGCAACATTTTTTTTAAAACGCGGAAATCTAGCCTTTTCTTGTTATGCACCAAAAGGAACCAAATCTTTTCTCACATTCCATTCTCCCCCCCCCCTTTTCTTCGCTAAGGAACTCAGTTTGCGAGAGTGAAGGATTCCCCTCCTCCTCCCTTAAATCTTTTCGCTGGGGGGGGGGGAGCGCGCTTAAGTCTTTTTCTCGATGTCTGACAACTCACAGTTTCAGCCAGTTTTCTTCTTTTTCACCATTTGTTCGCTTCATCACTCGGTGACCACAGGCGGCTCCGCTAAACCCCGTGCGGGGTCGCTTACGCGGCAAGGTCCATTGGGGCATGGCGGAGAGGCTCGATTTCCGACCTTTCGGCCGAGAAAGAGACTCCCGCCTGCACGCCCCGGGTCGGAGCCCCTCTTTCTGGGGCTCGCCTGGGTCTCCGCTTGCGCGGATTCCCCCCTCGACCGCGGGCGGGCGAGACGCCCTCAGGAGCGACCCGAGGATGCGTCCGCCATTTGTGGGAGCCAGACCGGAAGTCAACGCAAAAATATTCTTAATCAGCTGCTATTAAAAAACTGCAGTCCGGTCAGTTCTGTGACAGCAGCTGAAGGAAGCTCTGCAGGCATGAGGCCAAAGAATGAGGCTGTCAGTCAAGAAGTAAGAAAGGGACCATGACATGCAGAGTTTGGAGTCACTGCACAGGAAGTGCTTGTTTCACAGACAACAACTGCAGATAGGAATAGAAAATTATATGGGCAGGGAAAGGCAGTGACCAGTCACTGGAGAACAGAACAAAACAAGAAGCTAACAAAGCAATGTAAGGTTGATGGAGGTCACAATTTGTTAAGCAGAGGTTATGGCTGGGGAACAAGGCTCCAGCATACTTCCCACTGGAGACTGTTAGAAGTGCCAGCTGTGGGCAACCACTCAAAAAGGCCACACATGCAAGTTGTAGCCAGGCTATTTCTAAGCCAAGGCTTATGTGTGGATAAATGGGGACAGTAATTTAGATGGTCTGCCGGAGATATACCAAAAGCACAGCATACAGGTGCTTGTCCTGATGCTGCCAGTACTGGATGCAAGGAAAGTATGGTTGCTTCAGGGATAAAACCAGTATGAACTCGTTAAGCCAAACATCCTTGATGCCATTTCCAGGGCTCTGATCAACCAGCTTTGCCTTCAATTTCCCCACTCTGTTTCACTTAATGGGAGAGCTGCCAAATGGATCGTCTAGAATGACTCCCAGAAGTTTTCAGGGGGGCTTCGATTCAGGCATCCCCACTTCCACTTATTTTGATATCAAGTATGTAGTGGAATGTTGATGCACCTCTCCTAGTTGTGGTTCAATACAGCTGCAGTCATAGAAAACCCCACAGGCTTTATTCAAAGGCCAGCATTCCACACATAACCACTGTACATAATGCAGTATACATTGGTCTCCCCTCAAAATCAGTTCAGAAACTCCAACTGGTGCAGAGCACCACGGTTCATCTATTATCAGGAACTAGACAAGAGCACACATATTACTCCCATTCTACAGTCACTCCACTGGCTGCACATCAGTAACCAGGCACAGTTTAAGGTGTTGGCCATCACGAAGCCCTTCATGGCCTTGGACCCTCGTATCTCCCCCTATGTACCAGCACAACAGCTTCACTCATCTGAGCAAGGTCATCTGTAGTTCCCAACCTGCAAATGAGCAAAATCAACAACTGTCCGTACACGTGCCTTCTCTGTTGTGACCCCCCACCTTGTGGAACGGCCTGCCCCCTGAGGAAGTCAGGAAGGCTCCCACTCTCCAGGCTTTCCACAAAATATGCAAAACTGAATTATTCAAGAGGGCTTTTCTACACAGGCGAGAGAATTACACTGTACTAAATGATTCACAAAGTTACTTGGATAAATTATTAGGGACTGTGGTCTGTACTACTGTGTTTAGCTTGTTGAAACTAGGATCCTACTATGTAATTTTTGCATCATTTAACATTTAATTTGCTTCAGTTCTGTTTTTAGATTTCTGTTTGGTTCTACAACCCTAATCCTATTGTGTTGTTTACTGAATGTTCTATCCTGTCGACTCATTCTGTGTAATCTGCCTTGAGTCCAAGTGAGAAAGATGGACTACAAATAACATAAATAAATTAAAATAAAATATATATACCTTATCTGAAGTCATCAGCACTGCAGGCTCATTCTTTATACTAGACTGATGAATGTTCACAAACATTCCAGACTCCAACATTCCTGTTGACCTGAAATAAAAAGAAACATATTTTTGCTTATTCCTTCAAGAAAAATTACAGAGCTATCTAATCCCAGGTAGTACTGCATACCTTGCTGTTTCACTGTCTGTGACAAAGGTTGGAGTTGCTGTTAACGGGCTGCGCAAATCTTTCCGAATGTAAATCTTTTCTGTCGAAGCTGCACAGTTTGAAGATTTTTCTCGTGATACTTCAACAGGTTTCCTCTCACACTGAACAGCTACAAAAGGGTGTGGAGCTATCAGTAATAATCCAAAATTCACACACAATTAGCTATGAAGCTATATGCTGTTTTCTAAAAAAAACTATCTTGATTTTCAGTTTGTTTTAAAAAGGAGTGACAATAAACCTAACAAGTTTGTTTTCTGGCCAGCAATGACATGAAGCTAGTGATCTTTAAACCATGGTATGTGCATCTTCAGCTTTCCCCTTGCATGAATTCCTCTTGGTGACCTTAACTATGGTTAATCTGGCTCCCTGTTACCCAGAATAGGAAGCTACTTAGTAACCTTGAGAAAGAATCTTAATTAGCATTAATCATGGTCAATGTTGGCTCACCATAACACTTAATTATAGCTGAAGTGAAAAGGATGAATATGAATGCATGAGAGGGGAAGGCTGAGCAACTTGTAACTTTCTATTTCACAACCCAGCCCTGGTCACTTAGCCATGGTTAAGAGACTGCTAGTGTTATGTCTGCTTGTCCTTCCAATAGTTTAAATATCAGACAGAATCTCAGTAGTCTGCAAGCTCATCTGCCAAAGAACTGCTTCATGCCTTCTAAGGAACCTGTTTGGGGATTTTCCAGGATGTAAACTGAATTCATATAAAGAATATGTCTGGGACCCACTATTGTCATTTCACATAAAACTAAGCTCATCCTTGAACATATCCAGTAGTCCTACCTGATTGTACATTGCAGGAGAACAACAGTGGTAAATAAGCTGTCTTTCAGGGAAGGCTGTTTACCACAAATGATTTTCTAACTGAGGAACCTCTGGTAAGCATCTGAGATATCCCAGGATTCTCTGAAAACCACTGTCCTATAAGAAAATTTCACTTTTGATTTCTCTACTTATTCTATTGCCAATCAGCAAGAGCTCCTTCTCAATCATATGAATACTGTTATCAAATGTCAAACACAGTACAACAGCTGTTTAACAAATATGGAAACCCCTTTCAGTGTAGTAGGAAGTCTTATCAAATTTAGAGCCTAAACATCTTTTATGGAAAAGAAGCTGCAACCCCTCCCCCTTTCCCAAACTCATATAAAATTCAGCCTGATGAAGAGTTCCGAGAACTGACAATATTATTTGGGCTTATATTTGTTTTTATTGAATTTGTAATAAATACATGTATATTTGGTAATATTTCTGCTTCAAGTTTATACACAGAATTATTGGGCTCTTATATTCTGATTTCCTTAACCTTTTGGTTCTCAATTCAGTAACTTCTTGCAGCGTACCGAAACACTTACATCCTTAACAGCTCTAAAATATTATTGCATAATGCATTCATTCTCAATACTCTCACAGAAGTGTGCTTTAAAAATGGGCATGTTAAGTATCAGAAGTGAAGGAAGGTAGCCTTGACCGGGATAGCCCAGGCAAGCCCAATCTCGTCAGATCTTGGAAGCTCAGTATTGCCGAGTCTGGCAAGTACTTGGAAGGGCAACCTCCAAGGAATACCAGAGGCCAGAGGCAGAGACAGGCTAATCAAGCGGCCTCTCTGAAGAACATCCAAGCCCCCAGTAGGGGTTGCCAGAAGTCAACCATTACTTCCAGGCACGCACACAAACACACACACAAAAGAAGTGAAGAAAGGTAAATTTATTTAAAGGAAAGCTGAAGAAAGGCCTAAGAGCTCTGGTGCTATGAGAGCTTCTTCCAGAACCTTACTCTGCTTTGCAAGACAGAATAATGATCTGACTAAGTAGGGATATCCTTCCACTTATACCATGGGAGACAGAAAGCTGAAGGTAAGCCCTGCATCCAGAAGGAAGGAATCATCAATCAGTCAGGATGCCCTCCCCTTCTGAGTAAGAATGGCTGTTCCAGAAGTAATTTAAGCAGGACAGCACAAATCTCCTGAGTTTTTCAACAACTGCCCCCTTCCCCCAAGCAACTTTGGATAATGCTCATACTTACAATCTTGCTTCATTCCAAAAGCAATACATCTCTGTAGCCTACAGTACTGACATCGGTTTCTATGGTGTTTGTTAATCACACAGTCTTTTGCCCCTCGGCATGAATACACTAAATTCTTTCGTATGCTTCTTTTAAAGAATCCTTTGCATCCTTCACATGTTACTGCTCCATAATGGCGTCCTGATTGCATAACAACAAAATACAACAATTATAACATGGCTGCTGTGCTTTGTTAGAACAAATGCACCACTTAACTAAATTCCAAAGAAAAGAAAGTGCACAGTTCTTAAAACTATTACTGAAACCAAAGCATTTATAGCATAAACCAACTAGCTTTTGATGCTTAAATAAAACAAATGCCTTTATTATTTAGTAAATGCTATACCATTATGTGATGACATCTTCTCTACCTAAAGCTAAGATGCTATGCTAACAAGTAGTAGGGTGAAAATGGAATATCTGCGGGGCCAATAAGATTAACCAATAAATTTACAGGTACAAACAAATATACTAGTTACACCTTTCTAAGTCCACTGAAGTCAATGGCTTAGACAGGTGTAACTGTGCTCATGACAGCACTGTTATTGTATTTAGCTTGCTAGTTAGCAGCATCCCTCCATACAAGACAAACTGAAAAGATCACGCTTCCCCTACCAACTGTCTCCTCCAGTCACTAAGTACCTATGTAAACATAACACGCGTTGCACGTAGAGACCAAGACAAACAGGACTGAACTGTATAGACTATACAGATCCCATGGCCTACATACTTTGGGTTTTATGCAAGTAGGAGCCTGAGGGTACACTGCCGAAGGGGGGTGGGGGGCAGGGGAGGAGACAAGCTAGCATGATTCCAGTTACCCACAATCAGGGGTCATTTTGTAGAAAAAGAGGTGCAGGAGCTCATTAGCATAACTTATTTGCATATGCCACACCCCCTGACATCACCGGGAGTGTGTCAGAAAGCAACACCCACCGCTCAGGCTCCACCCCAAAAATCTCCAGGTATTTCCCAACTCAGAGCTGGCAAGCCTACCTGGAGAAAAACTGCTTATCACACCAATGTACCTGTATAGTTACATGAAAAATAAATTATTGCAAAAAACCTGTTCAAATAAATGGTCTACTTGTGTGAACAGCGTATCATTAGAGAATGGGACTTGTGCAAGATCGCAGCTTTTTTATATGCTCAGCAAAAACTTTTAATAATGGAAGCAAAGCCACAATCTCATGCAAGTTTCTCTTTCAGTCACTTGCAAACACTCCAGCAAGTGGTACACATTCTGCATGCTCCATGTTTCACAGGGCTAGCAGATCTACTATCTGGAAAAGACATCCTCCCTTCCCTAGTAAATTATGAATAACCTGACACCTTGAGAGGTGTGCCTAAAACAGAGTTACACACATGACACATATAATAATATTAAATACATAATCAAGTTGATACATACAACGGGTATGTAGACTGACTGGACAATTTCCCTAAATACTAATATCCAGATTTGGATTGCTAGCTATTGGGGGGGGGGGGACGCAAAGATCTGCCCTCACAGAAGAGGGAGAGCTTGTACCTGCATGAATCTTGGTCTTAAAGGTGCCACTGGACTGTATTCTAGTGAAGGCAGCACTGAGAAATAAACCAGGATCAAGCGAAGCCAGGATGTTCACAGTTGTATGCCATACAAAAATATAGTTAAGACTAATGGCTGTTAATAAGCCAATCTGTAACCACAGGTTCAGATCTTCGTTTGATGGATCCTAACTAACCATACATAGTGGAGTAGTCAATAAAAAGAATCTCATATCTATTTGTTTCAGTGAGAAATAAATGAAGAACCTGAAGTATCATTGTCCAGACATTTAGTTTAGGAGGTTAAGTGAATTCCATAATAATGAGCATCAGTTTCACCCTGACGTCACTGGAAGTGTGTCAGAAGGCAACACCCACCGCTCAGGCTCCACTGGACTTTTGGATTGCTAGGTATTGGGGGGGGGGGACGCACAGATCTGCCCTCACAGAAGAGGGAGAGCTTGTACCTGCATGAATCTTGGTCTTAAAGGTGCCACTGGACTGTATTCTAGTGAAGGCAGCACTGAGAAATAAACCAGGATCAAGCGAAGCCAGGATGTTCACAGTTGTATGCCATACAAAAATATAGTTAAGACTAATGGCTGTTAATAAGCCAATCTGTAACCACAGGTTCAGATCTTCGTTTGATGGATCCTAACTAACCATACATAGTGGAGTAGTCAATAAAAATGATGATACTAGAGAGCCAGTGTAGTATAGCGGCTATGGAGGTCTGGGTTCCAATCCCCAAACAGCCATAAACCTCATTGGGTAACCTTGGGACAGTCATTCTGTGTCAGCCTGGCACACCTTGCAGGGTGTTTGTGAGAATAAAATGGACAAGAGAATAATTCTGCTGTCATAATCTCCTTGGAATTTAAGCAAAGCAAGAGATGCTGAATTAAATAAGTAAAGAAAAGAAGGCTGCTAGCACTGTGCCATTCTTCTAGTTGTTCAATTAGGTATATGGGAGTATCCTGAGGAAAATCAGGAATATGGAGTATCCTGAGACATCTGTCTGCTTTCTATAACAAGATAACAATACACAGCTGTTTCTAGTCTCTGTCCCTGTTAAACATGTTGTCGAGCAGGGGCTAGTGGCAAATATCTTCCAGTACACATGTGAACTGTAGGGATTGCAAATGCTGAAATAACACATTGGATCCATGAAAACAAAGGTTCTTCGATCTGGGAATGGGCTTGTGGACCCCACTTCCCTGAGGTGTCTGCTTACTTCACTGTGTCCCCCCTGGCCCCAAATCCAAGACACGTTTTCCTTCCGCTTTCCCTCCCAACCCCTCTCCTGCCCCGTCCTGTCCTATCCCCGCCACCTGGACTTTCATTCTTACGGCTCCCCCCCTTCCTCCAGCCTCCTGGTCACTTCACTGGGTTTTCCTTCTCACTTCTAGGCACACTTCGGAAATGTTCCTGAGATGGAAGGGGGCAGAAAGGAGGAGGAGGTAGCCGGACGGTGTCGAAAGGGAGGAGAAGGTGGTGGATGGCGGGGGGGGGGGCCCGCTGCTCCGCGCAACAGCTCGCGTGGTGGCGGAGGGGCGCACGTGCGCTCCTCCTTTCCCCGTTCCTCTTTTTTTCCTCCTCCCTCCCTTTGGAATTCTATTAGTGCCGAATGCGTTCTCCTGAGGAGGCGACATGCCTGCATGGAGGGGGCCAGAAGGAAGGCTGTGTGTGCAAGAGACAGTGTGTGTGTGAGAGGAGGGGGGGAGAGGGAGGAGTGTGGTGCACGTGCACACAGCAGCATCGTTGGCTGCCTGCTCCTCTCTCTCTCCAATGAGATATTTCGCATAAGGAGCTGCGCTGCCGTCGCGCCTCTCTTTGCCCCATTTCCATTGGTCAATTTCCCACTCAAATCCTCAAAAAACAGGATCACGAAACAGCGGGGAAAATCGGGTTAAGCAGCAGGTCAAAATGCGGCTGCGCGGCTTAGAGTGGGAAATTGACCAATGGGAATGGGGCAAAGGGAGGCGTGATGGTGGCGCAGCTCCTTATGCAAAATCAGCCTGTATGTGTTTCTGAGGCGAGGAAGAAGAAGGCGCTCTCATTTTCTCAGCCGAAGCCCGGCATTACATTGGGGTTTTTTCCTTCCCTGAGGGGAAGCGGCCCCTGCGATGGAGTTAAAACCAACCGAATAAGAGAATAATCATTTTTTAAAAGACCTACCTCCCCCCCTTCTTCTATCGCCATTCTCGGAGGGGAACTGGCGCAGAGGACTGGGCGGCAAGGGAGCCGAAGAGTTCATATGGACCTGAGGAGCCGCCACTGCCACCGAGCAATGGTGGGGTTTCCACGTGCCTTTCCCGGCCCGCCCGCCAATGCAGGCGAGCTAGGAAAGGCCTCTACAGGCCAACTTACTTTGCTGCTGGAGGTGGGGCTTGCTGCATGTTCCCACCCCTGGGCTCCTTACTGACGGAGCACCATTCCGGTGCGCTCCAGTAGGAAACGACCCCTGCCCACAATATATTGTCCTGAGGAGATGGATCGGGCTTTCAGTATCAATTTTATGGAAGCATAACATATTATGCTGGAAGGAACACTTTTACTTTCTATTACCTATTCATGTACATTTAAAGAAGTTTCACTGAAAATATATTGCAAGGCTTTCCAACAACTTGTGTATTTTATATCTCAGATATCATAAATGTGTTAAGACCTCTGGGTTTCATATTAATGTTCATATAGTTACTGCAACATTTAATCAAAATGTCCCAATTTAAAAAAATTGAAAGTAAACAATACTGAATGCAACAACAGAGGTACAATGCAGGACCATGAATGTATACACTTCTATTTCCTGTCTTCCTCTATAATTATTACCAACAAATTTCTGATTCCTCACTTTGATTTGGAAAGCACATCACAGTACACTTATAGGTCATCCTTAGACCATTATGTACTGTGTTTAGTTTGCCTTCCTGTGCTTAAGATTAGAAGAGTATGATGTTTTTCAGAAGGAAATAATACAGAACAGTCTTACACAACACAACCAGAAAATACAGTGAGTTGAACTACAAGAACTTAAGTTATGTTTGCTGGATGGGAATGCAACAGAGGTTATTACATGTTTGCATACTTTTTGGTTCCATGAGTTTTCATGGACATTTTTTCATATTCATTATTAATATTAACTAGATCTTAAGACTTGCTGTACCAGCAGATAAATGGTCACAGATGGAGAGATAGTTAGAAAGCAATCTTAAGCATATCTACTCAGACCTATTCAATGGGGCTTACTGACACTGCTAGTAAGGCATCAGTGCTTCACCACAAGTTCTGGCAATATAGCAGCACTCCAGGGATGTTATACAGATGTTCAGAGTGTGAGTATAAGCCTGGCAACACAAATGGTGGCCTAATTATTTATAGCACACAGGGAAGCTTTAGACTTTTCACTGTTTCTGTTTCATTCACAGGATTGCTCACAGCAGCTGATTTCTCATTTGTTATACTGCAGTTGTTATGGCCCTCCTTTAAAAAAAAATCCTTAAAAATGGTAAAATTTCTATAGTTCGGAAACGCACAATATGAAGACATATAAGATCGGGGAAAGCATGAGAAAAAGAAACAGTTGCATCAGTTTTAAATAGAACATCAAAGATGAACAAGGAACCCATCAAAAAGATACATAATTAAAAAAAAAAACTAAAATACTTCCTATTTTAGAGTTCTTCCTTCCAGCTTTCACTTATGCAGATATAAATATGGTGTATTGCTACTAACCACTAGCCATTTATGTTAATTTAAGTAAGCATTCACTTGTCATCAGTGTCCAATAAGTTGTGTGGTTTGAAGATGCCTAGAAAGATAGTCATCTATTCCCTTGACACTATATCCCAAAATCTGTTTGCTTTTTTTCTTACAAATTCAACCTGACTTATTTTTCCCATTTATATCCATTTTACACAATGAAGAAAATACAGATCTAAACTTGGAAACTACACTCTAAAACAGAAAAAAAACTAGAGGTACAAAAATGTACTAGTGGAAATGAGAAATCAAAATGACAGTGCAAGTTCACAATTTTATGACGAGGTAAAATACAAATCAAAAGGGAAAAAATGATGTTGGATATTCATAGCAGTAATAACTACTATGTTGGGCTAATCTTAATTGGATGACATAAGCAAAAAGTTGCTTATTAAACCTTTCAAAAATTAATTTGTGGGTAATGGAAAGATTCATGCTGCCCTAATTTAAAAACTGATTTCTTTTCAGTACTTGGTGACATTATTTTTCAATATAAGTTAAAAATAACTCAAAATTAATTTTGCAGAGTAGTACAAAGTTATTTACCTGATGCTTTATCTCCACAAACCACACAGAGATCAAATACTTTATTTAGGGTTTGCTCTGTGGAAGAATTGTCCTTTAAAATCTGGAAAAAAAGAAAAGGAATTATTGTAATCCAGCTCTCGCTTTCACCACCTGCTTCTCCAAAATACATGCTTACTAACTAATGCCTGATGCACTGCAATACAGATCTATGAAACATATTCCCTCCCAAAAAGGTTTTTTTGTAATAATAGTTTTTATCATTTTAAACAAAACAAATAGACAAACAAACATACATGAAAGTAATAATAACAATATTATATCTTTTAAACTACCTCATACATATATGTCTAATTGCAGGCCTATGTTAAACACTACACTATTTTTTAATATTTAAGTTCTGTCAAAAACATTTCATTACTGTTCGCTATAAATCCAGATTTAAGTATATCTTAAAATTTCATAATCACATAAGTCTATAATTTTTGCAACTCTATAGATTAACAAAACATGTTCCTTCTGTTTGAGCATTGTCTAAGCATTCTACAACAAATCTTCTATAAGATACATTTAGATATTAACTAAATTTATACAACTCCCCAAATTCATAGTCAAATTCTTTTATCATTCTATTTGTTCTAATTGTTTTAACGTCACCAAAAAAATTTCTCTAGCCTACCTCTTAAATCAAACTGAATTCTTAATATCAGCCTTGCTTACACATTTTAAAATAATCTTTCGTTTAATAAAGTTTTTTAAGCATATCTATATTTCCTAATCAATCTACCCCAGTTACACAAGCTCATGGGATCCCTAGACCAATCTTGTTTATATAACACCTTTTATATCAGATTAAAGCTTTGATACCTTTATAAATTTATAATCTATGCAATCCTATGTTATAAGCCTTACCGAAATATGAGTTAAAGTTTTTAAACATACTTCTCTAACCAATCTTATTCAAATAAACATTCATAAGTGTTCTCTAGACCAAATGTTTTATACAATTTATTCTCTTATAATTTATAACATCTGTTATAAGATTTTCTAAAACACTTAAAATTAATCTTCCCTTGAATATTTTTAATATGGGCTATAGTTTTGTGAATGTATAGAAAAACAAACTCAATTAAAACCAATGTTAATCAGTTACACATGTATAAAGATTCCCTGGACCAATTTTCTAATTTGCAGTTATATGAATATATACATGAAAAAATGGGTTAGATCTTCCCCAGCCCATCTTAGTCTGTTGCACAAAATTCTGTTTTATCTTCTCTCTGGAATATTTTTCCCTTTATAACTTTGAGGATTCCTGAGTTTAACAGTTTTTTAGTAGATCTGTTATTCTCACTGTAGATTGGGTCAACTTGTTTGTGGTGTTGTTGTGCGTCTTGCACAATTTGGTGCTGAGGTTCCTTTTCTCTATAGGTTAGATCCGCTTGATTGTAGTGTTGTTCTGCATCTTGCACAATTTGGTGCTGAGGTTTCTTTTCTCTGTAGATTGGGTCAGCTTGATTGTAGTGTTGCTCTGCATCTTGCACAGTTTTGGTGCTGGGGTTTCCTTTGTCTTGCTTGTATTTTGGCTTAGTGTAGTATCTTTTTTGTCTAGTATTGGTTCAAACGCCTTTTTAACTGCCAGATTGACTGCATCAACAATTATAAGCTGAAGCTCCTCCCAGGACAACTGAAGCAGGTTGGTTTCTGCGGAGCTGTCTAAGCAACCATCATCTGGCATTTTTTTCTGTGTGTCCTGATCACCCATTTTAATGCAACAGCAAAAGTCCCAGTTCAGCCCAGCAAAACCCAAAGTCTCTGCAAATTATTTGTCAATATTCTCTTCAGAGCTGACCACATTTACAAGATAGTAGCTCTCATAGAGATATTAGCAACCGAGAATCCTTCAACACAAGTCAAGTGCTTTGCAGCTCTACAATAGACTCTAGACATAATAAACTCCTCCGTTCTCAGCAACGAAGCATGATGTCATAAAAAGTTGCCACAAAGTAACCAATTCCACTCTAAAGATTTTATTTATTTATTAGATTCCTATCCCGCCCTCCTGGCCTAGGCCGGCTCACAACAGAATAAAACCTCAACAATACGATCACATAAAACCATAATTTCATAAATACAGTATTAAAACTCAAACATAACAACATAATAAAGTGCTAGTACGTTCCTTGTTCCTGGTTAACTCTTTGACCTTCTGCGGCTATCTAGGATTGGCTCGGGCAGTGTTAAGGGGACCAGCAGGCCACGGTTCTGCCAGCATAGATATTAGTTGCTGGAGGTACAGGTGTTAGTGATGGTGGCTGCAAAGGCCTGGTGGAAGAGCTCCGTTTTACAGGCCCTGCGGAACTGTGAGAGGTCCTGCAGGGCCCTAATCAATTCTGGGAGCTCATTCCAGCAGACTGGAGCCGCCACCAAAAAAGCCCTGGCCCTGGTCACCACCAGTCTGGCCTCCTTGAAGCTCGGGAGAGCCAGCCGATTCTGGGTCCCCGGTTGCAGCGTCCTCTGGGGTAGATAGGGGGAAAGGCGGTCCCTCAGGTATGCAGTTCCTTGGCCATAAAAGGCTTTAAAGGTAAGAACCAGCACCTTGAAGCGAACTCGGTATTCTTTCTTTCTTTCTTTCTTTCTTTCTTTCTTTCTTTCTTTCTTTATTTTTCTCTTTCTTTCTTTCTAATCCTTTTGTAGAGGCTCAAACAACAGTCCCTCTTTGTCCCAAGAAGTGTTTAGCTCAGCTTTCTTTTCGTAATCATCCCAGCCACTCTGAGGAGGAAGGAGGAGGGAAATTCCACCCTTCCATTCCTTGTCCTTTTAAGGGCTTAAGCAAAAGATTGTCGGTTTCTTCCATGTTGCTTTTACAGGTACTTACAGTGTATATCTTCATTGGTGTTATGGACGAGGCTCAAATAACTCTCTTCTTATGGGGCGCTCACATCTGGTGCAGTTATGGCTGCCATAACTGTGCTGCTTAGTTCCTTGCTTCTGGGACGATCCAGGGCTTCCACCTGCTCGCTGCCACTCACGGGGGGCCCGAATCAAGTCCCTTGCACCAGACCTCTCTCCAGGAGGTCCGGTGAAGTTTGGGATCCCCCGAAAACTCCCCCCAAAAGGTGCCCAGGAGCGATTCCCAGTGCCGACCGTGTCAATACGCTGCAGCCCCACCCTCTCCCAAAAAAGTTTGATTATACATTTGGCAATAAAAAATGAGGAAATGTCAAACTAACCTGGAAATAGATGAACGGAGGGAAATTTTTTAAAATAAAACTGAGTTTCAGTTACTGTGACATCTCTAGCATTGCTCTGGCTTCCCATATTTATTGTCACCATAGCTCATTGACATGTTGAACTGAATGTCTATTACTACAAAGTTCTATTTACCAGAAATGTCTATTTCCTATGTAAAAAATGCAGTGTTCCAGGCAGAAAATTTAGGATCTAAAATATTTATGTTGCTTTCCAAAACAATTTTGTCCTGATGTGTTTTTTTCTGATTTCGTATTTCTTTGTAAGGATACAAGAACCTAATTATATGAGGGTCATGCAGTTCACCAACAAAGGTGGAATCCCTAAGATGCAATACTGAAGACTAAGACATAGTACGATGACTAGGGAAGAGACCTTTGGTAACACAGTCACCTGTACTTAGGGTTTTTACTACATAATTGCTGCGTGGCTGAAACTGGAGCAAAGCAGGTAAATCATGTACACTGCTATGAACTTCCTGGAGGAAGGGTGGAATAAATAAGAGAACCCCCTCATTTTGTGAAACTTAGTTTTATAACATTGTTCTCTGAAGAATGCATCCTTCCTCCCTCAAGTTATGAAGCACGCATGTTCTTCAATATTTTGGTTTAAAAACTGGAAACAGGTTATCTCCCTTCACCATCATAACATGGTTATCAGGCCAGAGCACACAGACCTCTTACTACTGCTCATGGATCAGTACTAGCATGACTAAAAAGTCATGTTTAAAAGTCCTAATAATAGAAGTCACTGTACCTGAATGTGTTGTGCAGATATATCTTGAGATGTAAAAAAAAGCTGGTTGACTCCTGCAGCATCTGGAGTTGCTAGGAAAACTTTTCCTGGAGTGGCATCTTGCCTGGCAAGGATCACTTTGCTTGGTGTAGAACCATCATGATTTGTTAAAATGAACTGTTTGCCTGTTGCAGTCTGATCAAGTGCTGTAACAATCTGAATCTTCTGCCCAGTCTGCTGATCTGTGACAATCTGGTAACATATTTTATCTCAAGTTATTACAAGTTAAGGGTGAAAAACAGTCAGCTATTGCAAAAGAAATTTGCTATCCAACACATTTCACCTTTTAAAAAGCAATCTGATATTTTATTTGTAGAGTGCTCTTCTAAAACATACATAGGCTGCAGTTACATGGAGCATTAGCCACGCTGCATAGACGGAAGATAGGCGGACTTTCCGGGCGCGATCTCACCACAACATCTGGGGAGCGTAGAGCTCCCGTGGCTGACCCGTGACTACCCTCCGAAGACGCGCAGTAAAAAACTAGTACCTCGAAGGTACTAGTTTCCAGGAACCGTGCGGCAAGAGCGGCAAGAGCGGGCGCCTGATCGCGTCCCTGCCGGACTCCTGTGGCATCTGGCGCCCGCCGGGTTGTTCCCCCCATGCCTCCAGAAGCGCCCAACAGCGCACGGCGGCGTTGGGGTCGAGGGAGGGCCACGGGGGGCTGCGATGGGGGTGAGCAGCAGCGGCCAGGCGGAGAGCAGGCCATGTGTCCCGGGGAGGGAGGGCGGGCTGCTGGTGGGGAGGGAGGATCTGGCGGGTTACTCCCCCCTCCTTGTGAGCGGCCCACGGACCCTGCCCGGAGTGGGCTGTGCACGGCCCTCCCAGAGGAGGCGGCTCGTTCCGTCCCCTTCCCATCAGCCGGATGCTCTCGGTGGAGGTGCGAATACTCGTGTGATCGGCACCTCCACCCTAACCACGGGACCTCGCCGGGACGTCTGATCCCACAGCAACGCGGTATTTTGCCCTGGGGCAAACAGCCATGCTCCCCCCCCCCGCATTTTCCTGGCTGTGTGGCCGGGGCCATAAATGTGTTTACAAAAACTTCAAGTATATGGGTGGAATTTCTCCAGCTGTGGCAAGAAACAGACCTGCAAGGAATTATTGTGAATAATTTAGCAAGGTTTTATCTCCTTCAAGATTTTGCTGAATATTCACAAAATAATCCACAGTTAGATTTGCCAGCTCTCAAAGTTTACCTGAAGTTTCTGGGTTTTAGCTTCTTTCTAAGGGTCTCCAGGAAATGGAATTAATTGTCAAGGTTACAAACCAGAATCTGAGGGGCAAGACTGTATATATACAAACAAACTTTGACTCCCACGGTCTAGGACCTGGCAAGCTCATATATAACATCGGTGGGTACAACTTCATGAAACAGCCTTGCTGACATGCTTGGAATGGGAGCACAGAAGGAAGTGGGAAAAACTATTAGTTCAATACAGTACTAACAAGGCATTACTTAGAGCTAGAGCTGCTGCTAATTGATGTTGACATCCAAGAATAAATGAAGGCAAAGAAACAACTGCGCTGGTTCCAGGATGCTGAGCTCTCTCTTTTCTTGGTAGCAAGGTCAGACCTCAAAAGAAATGTTTCATAAATTGAACTATAGCATAAAAGTTTGAGTGGTGTATACAGTTTCATGATAAATAATGTTTAATGTTCCCCCAAGAGCGCTACGGTCTGGGGCCCAGAATTTTCTAACTGTTCCGGGCCCCAAGGATGCTAGACTGGCCGTCACAAGGGCTAGGGCCTTCTCAGTGGCGGCCCCCACCTGGTGGAACGAGCTCCCGGAGGAGATCCGGGCCCTGCGGGACCTGGTGCAGTTCCGCAGGGCCTGCAAGACGGAGCTCTTCCGCCAGGCCTTTGGTTAGGGGCCGCCACTGCCCCCCCGGCTATATACCATCTTGGGGGGGGTTAGGGCTTAGGAGGCCGGGTAGAACTATTGTTAACATCTATTATCGATGCCTACTGGGAATGCTGGGGTTGTGTTAGGGTTGTGGTCGCCCTCTTTGGGTTTTTGAGATTCTGGAATGATTGTGATTACTTAGATGGTTAGACAGTGTCATCGATGCAACGAACATGAAATTGAGCAAACTTCAGAGGACAGTGGAAGACAGGAGGGCCTGGTGGGATCTGGTCCATGGGGTCGCGAAGAGTCGGACTCGACTGTGCGACTGAACAACAACAACATGCTCCCTTGAGCCTGCCTATGTAGGCAAGGCGGGATATAAATTGAATAAATAAATAAATAAATAAATAAAAATAACATATAGTTTCACAGTATTCAATGTGCTTGATGTCATTCAAATTGAATTATTAAACTCATGGTTTTTACATTAATCCATTGAAGGCATGGGAAAATGAAATTTGCACTATAGCCAAGCTGTCAGGTCACTGCCCTTAGGCAGTGGAAGAGTTATCCAAAGGAGTTCCTCAGAAAGAACTACTTCATTTGCTGTTGAATAGACTAAAAATCATCTCATACTCTATGGGTACCATGATGTCCTTTCCTGCAAATTAGTTAAATTGTCAAAATACTTTGAATCCAATGTACCTGTATGCGCTGGGGTAAGGTAAGACCTGTATCTGCAGGAACAATCTGAATTCTTTGTGCTGACCCATCCATTAGTGTTTGTGTGACAGATCCTTGGGAATGTGCTATCTAGAAGGAAAAAAAGTTTTAAAAAAGCCCACAGACTGTTTTTTTGCACACTAGGCGAGGCTACCTTCTGCCGCCCCCACCCCCGTGTGCCCACCAATTTTCAAACATAAATGAATTTTAGGAAGAATGAAAAACACAACATTTGAAATTGCTACTTTCATTCTTTTTTTTTTAATTGTGAGAACAAGTAATACAATCTCTGATTATCTACGCCACCTCCTCACTGTTGTGTGCTTCTAAACCCTGTCCTTCTAAGCCAGTTTGGTGCAGTGGTTAGTGCAGTGGTTAATAGTGGTGGACTCTAATCTGAGAACTGGGGTTGATTCCCCACACCTCCATTTGCATCCAGCTGGGTGGCCTTGGGCCAGTCACAGCTCTGTCAGAGCAGTTCTCTCAGGGTGTCTGTTTGTGGGGAGAGGAAGGGAAGGAGATTGTAAACTGCTCTGAGACTCCAAGTGAAGGGCAGGGAATAAGTCCAAATATCCTTATTATTAGTCTTTGTCAGGCCACTGCAGCAGACTACATGAGCCCAATCAGCTTCCCCAAAGCCTTACAAGAGCTAGCTGATCGCAGGGGACTCTCAGGCTGCCCCTCCAGCCTTGTTCCCTCCTACCCACCATTCTCCTGGCCGGGATAAGCTGCTGGATAGAAGAAAATTGTGGGAGTGCTGCAGCAAAGGGCTTTTGGCAAGGGAGGAGTGCCAGAGCAGGGCGGCAGGCCAGCATGGCGCCCCTTCTTAGGTGTCGCCCTAGGCAATGGCCTAACCCCGCCTTATGAAAGAGCCAGCCCTGCCTAGCACAGGTTCATTGCAATGATACTGGTCAACCTTAAACAAATAAGCATTAAGAATGACTGACCTAACACTTTCCAGTAACTCACCCTTACCCACAAGTGATTCCAGTGCCTGAATACCTAAAAAATACAAGTTATTGCTTGCAAGTAGACAAAACACAACGACTTTAAAGAATCAACTGTATATTGTGTGCACAGTATCCAGACACTGGAGTTACTTCTTTCTAAGAACAATCCTTGGAAGGAACTAAATTTGACTTTGCCTGAAGGACAGCTGTTATTTTTTCCATACCTGAGCACCATAAAATAAAATATCACATACTAGAGCTTCCCAGTCCTTCAGAACACAACTTGCATATTAAATTCAAAATTTGCAAGGAACAACTCTTATTGTCCCTACTTCCCAATACTGAAAAGAACATGTAATGTTTAAGTGGTTACTATTACTTTCTACCAAATTCTATATTTATCATTTGAATTCTTGGGTATCCTTGTAGAAAACCTTAGATTTGCATGATGATGAACTAAGTATGTCAAGAACAGATTGTGTATTCAAAACTACAGATAAAGAATTACTAGAGAGATTTTTATATTGCACTTTCAAATGTTATTTTGAGGACACCGTATAAATAAATAATAATAAGTGATATATAACTACCTCTCCCATTTGCTGCTCAATAATCTGATGAGCCAGTTCCTCAATAGTTGCCATAATCTTCAGTCACTAATATTTCCTGTTAAAAGGAGATAGATATTTGTAAATTCTGTAGTGTCTATAAAAAGAAAACCAAAGTAAAAAATAATGATACTAGTTTCTCTGATGATGCAGTAATAGAACTCAAACACAAGCTTTAAAAACTGTGCAGTAAGCCCATTCACAAGTAGCCGCATCACGTTACAACCAAGGTAGCTCATCATGGCTAGTGGTGAGCACATAACTGTAAACTTTTTTAGGATAAATAGAAACCTTTTTATTATAGAAAATGCTTCCACAGTATCAACAGACCTAGCAGTGTCACGACAGCCAGATACACAAAGAACAAAATAAATATGATGTCCTTATTGTGGAATCACACTTTTAGATACCGTAATTCATAACTTCCTAACAACGTGTACTCTCTGGCATAGTTAAAGCTTCCACTGACAAAATGGAACTCCTCTTCTTTCTCCAGCTATTCATCCAAAATATTTTTGTTTATTTCCTAATTTGCTACAGGCAAAAAGTAGGAAACTCAACCACTGTATAGTTTTTTATATAGTGGCAGGGGGATGGGTATTTTCTTTGAGGTGATCACAAGATACACTCAACCCCTTTCAATGTGTATTAATCAGAAGGTAGCAGCTCCTAGGTGCTATCTTACGACACACTGGTTGCCAACCCCAGATGTGTATGTGGGGCAGCAGTGGCACATATGATTTGCCATCAGCCCCTGGAGATAGTCTTCCATCTCTTTATCATTCCATCCACCCACACCCACACACAAGGTAAAACTAGTTGTATGCCATGATTTCCTGGGACACAGAGTACAAGACTCCATATAAGACTACAGAGCAATATTTCTTAGTGTCACAGAAAAGAATCTCATGTATAAGATCCTGCCTGCTTATTCACCACTCATTCATTGCTACTGTGGGGCAATATTACAGGAAGGCAAACGCTCCAATGTGAATGCTGTTTGTATATGCTTTGACTGATGGCTGCAGAGAAACTGCAGACTTTAACCTTTCTTTTGAACAGATCAGGTTTAAAATGACCTCCATTATACAAACACTGACAAATTTCCCAAGATTTATCTGATAAATATTACAAGTTTATAAGCAACATTTACTTATCGGTTATAAGTGAAACAAATGCTCATAAATTTTCCTGTGGATAACCTTTATACTTCACAATCAGCACCCTTTCTACAGACTTTTCCAAACTAGCCAGCAAATTTTCTTCTGACTGCAATTATTTCCATAGCAAAGCCTCAAGATAACAACCATTGTATAATTTTTATTTAATATCCATTTCAGCAGATATAATCCTCCACTGCTTTCTGAAAAGGATAATCAATTCATGCTTTAACAGACAAGAATATTTAAAAATCATGACAGAAATATTTATTACCTGTTAATTAACCTCAACATTAGCATTTCATACAATCAAAAGTATGTAACTATTTTTTCATTCTGCTGAAAATTGAAATCTAGCCATTTTTGTTCATCAGTCACAATACTAAAACAGATACATATTACATCCTCAACCTATTTCTGCTACATTAAATCTAATTTCATATGCTCATATAAAATATCTTATACTTTTAATTTTCTCTGTGACTTATTTAAGTAAGGATATTGAATTGACTGGACAATGAAGGTTTGAACATATCCTAAAATTTAATATATTCCTTTTCCCCCATTTCCCTTCATTATCAGTGTGAGACTTGTCCTGTGGGGTCCCCCAAGGTCCAGTCCTATTCTCCATGCTATTTAATCTCTATTCAAAGGAGAAAGAAATCATTCATGGATTTGGAGTTGGGTGTTATCAATAAGGTGATGACACCCAGCTCTGTATTTTTCTATCCAAACCACCCAGCACTACTGTAGAGGAAATGAGACAGCACCTGGTTGCTGTGGCTCAATGGTTAAACAAGGGCTCAACAAATCCCAGGTGCTAGGGAATCATGGTGTCCAGGAATTTAATTGCGGTGCCTAGCATTTTCATCAGTCCCTTGTTGTAAGCGCCTCTTGGTGATTCTAAGTACAAAGCTTATTTAGGTGAGGGATAGCTTTTTGTTGTGATGACAACTAGGATCACCCCATATTTATTTATACACTGCAATATTTTTCTTATAGCTTTAAAAATGACAGGAAACTGAACAGTTTAGGATTAAGTTTTGTGACAGCAATAATGAAAAAGTATGGTCATTAAAATATAAACCTGAAGGCTGAAAAATAAGCCTGACTCCTAAATTTTGGGGGTGGTTCCTAAAGCTGCAGAAAATTTGTTAAGGCCTGGGCTAAAGGTGAACAAGCTAATTCTGAATCCTAACACAACAGAGGTGATGCTGGTTCAGAAGGCTAAGGTCTTGGAAAGTATCATGCTTCCCATGTTTCATGGGGTTCAGCTGACCTATGCAGTCTCAGTTAAGAATCTAAGGGATATACTGGATCCAGTAGTCTCGCTGGAGAAACTAGTTAATTCAGCAGGAAACAATTTCTCCAACCATCTTCATTTAGCCCAGAAGATGACTCTATTCCTTGACCAGGCTGATCTGGGCATGTGAATCCATGTGACAATAACCTCAAGGCTAGACTACTGTAATGGACACTACATGGGTCTAGCTTCAAAGACAACTTGGAAACTCCAGCTGGTACAAATGCCACAGCTCACTTATTGAGAACTAGGCAGAGTATGCATATTGCACCTGTTCTGCAGTCATTTCACTGGTTATCAATTAGTTTCCAAGTTCAATTCAAGGTACTATCATTTACAAAGACCTTCATGGCTTAGGACCCACATACCAAAAAGACTGTCTCAAGCTATGCTCCAGTGTGGCAGCTGTGTTCATGTGAAGACTGCTGAAGGTGTCACCTTGAAACTGGGTTAACAGCAACAGCTGCTGCTACCCAAGGATTCTTTATTTTGGTTCCCATTTTGTGGAATGGACTGCGTGAGGAGTTCAGGAAGACTCCAACACTTGTATCATTCTATCGTCGGGTGGGCAGCGTTTTGCTCTCATGTGCATCAGGGCTGGGGGGGAGATGATTTATAACACCGTTTATTGCGTGCATGTCTTACTTTAGTGCCATGTTTCCTACTTTCTGTAATCCAGTTTTTGCATTTCTTAACTTAGATTATGTAATCCATTCTCATTATAAAGTTTATTATGTCTTATACTGTTCCTATTGTATTGTAACGTTTTGTAATCCATGTTGAGTCCCAGTGAGAAAGACGGACTATAAATCAAGTAAATAAATGAAAAGTAACTAGGAGTTGATTATCCTCTCTAAATGTACCATAAAATATTCACACAGAACTTACTGTTCATTGCAGACAAATTTAGCAATGATGCTGCAACCTGGAAGGTCTTTATTACCTTGTAAATCACTCTGTCTCTGCGCTACACAAGTCAGTTGTGCTGAAAAAGAACCACAGGCATCAGGGGGAAAGGAAACAGCATAACTCTGGACAGATACAACAAAGGACAGAAGCTTGAGCTAAACACCAAGGTATTTTTGACTACCCAGCTCTCACCAAACCAATATACAATATTGTATATTGGTAATACATACTAGGTACCAGAGGTCATTTTGGGGGGGGATCGTGGGGGATCGCAGTTCCCCCGGGTGAGGTATGGGGGGCGGGGCACATGACGAAGCCCCGCCCCCTGCTTCCCCGCTTCCGGCTCTCATTCAGCCAGGAGGAGGCAGGAGAAGAGGGAGGGTAAGTTGCTTCCTCCCTGCCTCTCCCCACCCCTGCCTGTTTGGGGCCAGGGAGGGCCTTCGCGGGGCTTCCTTGCACTCCCACCGGCCTTGCAGGTCCACCGCCAGGCCCCTCATGGGGCTCGGCAGTGGAGCTGCAAGGCCGGCAGCGGCGGCCAGGACCGTTGGGGGCGGGGTGTATGGCCTTATGACACTCTTCTGGTGATGTCAGGGGGTGTGACCTTATGACACACTTCCGGTGATATCAGGGGGTGTGGCATATGCTAATGAGTTATGCTAATGAGTTTCCCTAGCTCTTTTTCTACGAAACGACCCCTGCTAGGTACCCAGATTTTAATAGGCAATGCTAGCATTGGAACTGTCCTACTTTACTGCAACTCAATTTATTTCTGTGAAGTATTTTTAGCATTTTGGTTTTAGTGTCATTCTTTCTTAGACAGTAAGCAACACTGTTAGCCAGGGACACCTAAAAAGAATAATATGTTTTGGAATCTAGTGCATGTCTCTACAAGTGAGAAATCTGTGGAGGTACAGAAGCCACAGTATCTCCACAGCAAATGAGGTGAACTGAACACTCACAGAAATCCTCCACAAAACTCTCAAGACCATGGAACAGAGTCAAGACCAAGAGTCCACACATTTTTATATAGCTTATTAGCCAACCATTGTGTTAGATCTGCTTGTGGATTTCTACCACTTTCCCTTATCCCCAGCAGTCCCTTCTGACCACAGTAAAATTGATTACATAATAAAATTGATACCCGCATGGAGTAACAGCCATGTGGGTCAGTGTGCTACAGTAACAAAAGGGGTCAAAATGCCTCCTCTTCCATCATCGGAGCTGCACAGCTAGAAGAAGGAGAAGGAAGTGATTTTGCCTTCTTCCCCTGCCTCATTGCAGCCCACTGCCCTGCAACCTGAGGGAAAGTGGGGAAGATCTATGTCTGTCAGCACTTCCACTGATAGACTGCTGGATCCAAGCCATTCATTACCTTCAACCTCCCTTGGAGTCCCTTGCAAACACAACTCAGGGTTAGGCTGTCACTGGGTTAGTCTGTCTCTTTGTGCTGGGTTTCAGAGAAGATAGAAGAAATGTGATAAATGCTGCTTCTTTCCTTCTACAGTCATAGAGAGGAAATAAATCTTTTTGTTCATTTCTCACTAGATATATGAGAAGGGGAAAAGCAGAAAAAGGTCTCATGCTGTTTCTTCAAAGCCTGATAGGAAGTGAGAAAACTCAATCAAAACGGATGCCAAAGATGCCAGGCTGGCAACAACCAGGGTCAGGGCCTTCTCGGTGGTGGCTCCATTCTGGTGGAATGAGCTCCTGGAAGAGATCAGGGCCCTGTGGGACCTCTTACAGTTCCGCAGGGCCTGCAAGACAAAGCTCTTCCACCAGGCATTTGACTAAGGAGCTGCATCATACACTGAGGGGTGTCCCTGTGCCCTAGCTTTACCACCTTCGCCAGCCTGTGTCCTGGCCTTACCATTGCTATCTCCAACCTGTACCCGCCGCATAACAAGTGATCGAACTGAGCTGGCATGAAGTTATGAGAATTATATGGTCACCTAAGTCACAGTATTTGCTCCTGTTTACTTGATAACATTCCAGCGTTTTAGTTGTATCTGATATTATTGGCATTTTATGCTTACGATTATATGTTATGAGAGGTTTTAATTGTATTTTTATGAAATATCTGTAAGCCACCCTGAGCCCGCCTTGGCAGGGAGGGCGGGTATAAATTAAATAAGTAAATAAAACAAGAAAACGTTAAAGAGGTGAACATTTGCTGGGCATGTGGGAAGGGAAAGTTGTCACTTGTGCTCAGCTTGCAAACCCCTAGTAATGTGCCCTGCAGCCAAAATGCATGGAATATATGGATATATGAATATATTCAGAGTACCAAATGCCAATATCCACAAAGCTATTAATTTTAAGTAAAGTGGAACCACTAGCTGTTCTATGGCCATTCAGGAGTTGGTTAAGGGTGCAATTTTGCATTTTTTAGAAGAAGAGAAGAGATTGGATTTATACCCCGCCCTTCACTACCCAAAGGTGTCTCAGAGCGGCTTACAAACTCCTTTCCCTTCCCCTCCCCACAACAGACACCCTGTGAGGTGGGTGGGGCTGAGAGAACTCTGACACAAACTGCTCTTTCTCAAGGACAGCTGTGCCAGAGCTTGTGACTGACCCAAGGTCACATCAGCAGGTGCAAGTGAAGGAGTGGGGAATCAAACCCGGTTCTCCCAGATTAGAGTCCGCACACTTAACCACTACATCAAACTGGCTCTCAAATCCTAACCCAGTTAAGATCAGATCTATGTTAACATTTTGCTTACCCAAGTTATCTGTGTTACATTCCATTTCTTGAATGCATAATTATTTTCTGAATGCTCCTGTGATAAAATATAAAGACAGATAATTTTAATTTCAAATATTTGATTGTAATTTTTAATAAAATATACATTTCCAATTTTTCATTCCTGAATTAATAAAATAACAATTATAAAGATTTACAGAAAATATTTAATGTTTAGTGGCTGCCTCTAAAAATTATTATTATTAATTCATAAATATTTATACTGTTCTTTTAAATATGATACATTTTATGAATAAAAGAACACATCTGTACAAGCAATAAATACATCTAAGATATCTTGCAAATACATACATTCAGGAAATTTTGTATTGGTTTAGTGTAGACATAATCCAGCTACTGCCTGCATACTTCAGTAGCAACATGGGAAGTCCAATGTGACACACTGTATTCTAACACAGGACCATACAGTTCATGAGTGAAACAAATTTCTTCTTAATATACTGAACTTTTGGCCTTTGTTGTACCCAGTGTCAACGGTTTTCATAGCCCAACCATAAAATTTGTATTCTTCTTCTTTCTCTTCCTTCTTTCTTTTCCTCCACCACCATCTATATCCTGCCTTTCAGTCCTACAAGGGCCGCCAAGGTGGCTAACAATTTAAAACATATAAGATAATGGTTATAAAACCATTATAATCAATTGCCCACCCAAACATATACCATTAAAACAATTTCTAAAAGGACTAAAAGACAGACTTAAAATCCATACAAACATAAAAACACTGGTCAGGAAGGAGGGATCACTGAGGGAATGCCAAACAAAAGAAAAAAGTTCTCACTCATTGGCAGGAGATGGCAACAGGAGGGGACAAAGTTCCAGGGCTTTGGTGCCATGACTGAGAAGGTCCTTTCCCCATTGCGACCCACTTGATCTCAGAAGATGGGAGCACCCAAAGCAGGGCCTCCAAAGATTACCATAATGGTCAGGTGGATTCATAAGCGATTAGGTCAGGGGTGGCCAAACTGTGGCTTGGGAGCCACATGCAGTTCTTTCACACATATTGCCTGGCTCCCAGCAGAGCGGCTGGGGAAGCGAAGGAGAGGCATGCCTCTCCAATTGGTCTTCCCTTCCCCAGCTAGTCTTCCCCTCCATGGGTAGGTTTGAGGCAAGGGGGTGGCAGAGAAAGAAGGCAACTTTAAATGTGTTCTCAAAGCACCCCCCCACCAAGCCTACAAATATCATTGGACAAATAAATATCATAAAATCTGTTTATACCCCTTTTGGTTTTATTTTTAGCGATGTCATTTAATGTTAATAAAAAGTAAATCTGCATATTTTTCAATAAGAACATGTGTGTAATATTTCTTCATGTCTTGCGGCTCTCAAACATCTGATGTTTATTCTATGTGGCTCTTATGTTAAGAAAGTTTGGCCACCCCTGGATTAGGTGGTCCTTCAGGTATGTTGTTCCCAAACCACAGAGGGCTTTGGAGGTCAAGACCAACACCTTGAATTGTGCCCAGAAACAAACTGGAATCCAGTGCAGACAGGCCAAGACTGGAGTAATATGGTCTCTTCAACCTACTCCAGTGAACATCCTGGTTGCAACATTCTGTACCAATTGAAGTTTCTGAACACTTTTCAAGGCCGGTCCCATGTAGACCACATCACAGTAATCTAATCTAGATGTAACCAGGGCATGCACCACAGTGGCCAGATCTTTTCTGTCCAGGAAAGGCTGCAGTTGGCTAATAAGTCCTGTTCCTTCAAGGGGACTGCAACCCCATCCAAAACAGGTGACATCTTAAAGTCAGGGTAGCCAGTTTGGTGTAGTGGTTAAGTGCACGGACTTTAATCTGGGAGAACCGGGTTTGATTCCCCACTCCTCCACTCACAGCTGCCGGATGACCTTGGACAAGCCATAGTTCTGTCAGAAGTGTTCTTGAAAAGAGCAGTTTCTGTCAGAACTCTCTCAGCCCCACCTACCTGGCAGGGTGTCTCTTGTGGGGAGGGGAAGGGAAGGACTTTGTAAGCCGCTCTGAGACTCCGAGTGAAGGGTGGGGTATAAATCCAATCTCCTCCTCCTCCCACACACCAGAAGGACTTCTGTCCAGTGTTCCCTCTAAAATGAGTTACTGTGAGCTAGATCACAGTTTTTTAGCCTCCAGCTCACAGCTTTTTGCATTTATTCAGGAAGGATGGCTCCAGAGCAAACTAATTTATGCAGTAGCCAAATCGCTTGCTCACAACTTTAATGCCAGTAGCTCACAAAGTAGAATATTTGCTCAAAAGACTCCATAGCTTAGAGGGATCACTGCTTCTGTCTTGTCAGGATTAAGCTTCAGCTTATTAGCCTGCATCCACTCGAAAACTGCCTCCAGCTGCTGGCGTAGGGTTTCTACACTGTGCCTGAAATCAGCTAGAAGTGCAAGATAGATCTAAATGACATCTGCATACTAGTGACAACAACCCAGCCCAAATCTCAAAATTACCTCACCCAACAGTTCCATGTACATGTTAAAGAGCACAGGGTACAAGATGGAACTTTGCAGAACCCTACAGGCCCCAGGCCAAGGAGCTGAACGGTGGTTCCCCAGCATCACCTCCTGAAACCTACCCTCCATGTAGGACTGGAACCACCACTGAATGGTGCCTCCCAATCCCAGTCCAGATAGGCTGTCCAGAAGGATACCACAACTGATTGTATCAAAAGGCACGGAGAGATTCAGGAGAAAACACAGTTGCATTCCCTCTGTCCATCTACCAGTACAAGTCATCCACCAAGGCAACCAAGGCTGTTTGAGTCCCATAACCCAGCCTAAACCCAGACTGAAAGGGGTCTAAACAGTTTGCCTCATCCAGAACAGCTTGGAGTTGCCCAGCGACCACCTGTTCAATCACCTTGTTCAAGAATGGAACATTTGAAACTGACTGATAACTGAGATCTCCTGGATCAAGGGTAGGCTTCTTTAGAAGTGGACACATTGCAGCCTGTTTCAAGGGCTAGGGTGACTAGCCTGTCTCTTACAGAAGCACTAACTACCTCTTGAACCCAGTAAGCTCTCCCCGAATATTTAAGTAACCAGGAAGGGCAAGGGTCATAACAAGCAGGTGCTAGCTCTCAGTTTTCCAAAGATCCTGTCTACATCCTCAGACTGAATAAACTAAAACGTATCCCAAAAATTGGACAAGGCAGCACCATGGCACCATCCGACCCTGTTACTGCTAACATAGAGTCCAATGTAGATTTTACCTGTAAAGTGCTGAGCAAAACAGTCACAGCAGGCCACTGAGTGTCCACCTCCTCCTGCAAGCCAGATCAAAACTGGCCTCTGATCAATGCTCCCTCTAAGCTGTGGAGTCTTGTGGGCAAAAATTCTACTTTGTGAGATACTGGCATTCAAGTTGTGAGCGAGTGACTTGGCTATTGCATAAATTAGTTGGCTCTGGAGCCATCCTTCCTGAACTGAGACAAAAATGTGTGAGCCGGAGGCTAAAAAACCACGAGCAAGCTCACACTAACTCAGCTTAGAGGGAACACTGCCTCTGCTCTACTGTCCTACACTGTGCAGACCTAAGTGGTGGGAAAGTGTTGTTTCTTTGCTGCCATCACTGCCACAGAGTATGCTTTTAAATGAACCTTTGCCTTTGTCTTATCAGATTCGGCCCACGTTTCCCTCCACTGTCACTGTAGTTGTCTCCTTTTTCTTTTCATCACTTGCAAGTCCCTCTACACCAAGGAGCTACCTGGGCTCTAACATCTGAGAGAAGGTGCCTGGGAGCGATTATGTCAACTGCCCGGTTCATTTCTTCATTCCAGAGGTTAATCAGGACATCAACAGGAGCACCAACTATATCAACAGGGCTATCAGAAAGGCATTTGGATCCTTCTGGCTCCAGGGGCAGATCATCTTTACTAGATCTTCCACCCCTGCAGAGTCTTGGTATCCCTGTAAGCCTAAACCCAAGCAAGTAGTCATCTGTCTATAACAAAGGAATCACTGTCCTCTACCCTGAGATCACATTTCTCCTGCTTGGAACAAAATTTATACCTCACCTTTCCCTCCAATGGGGACCCAAAGCAGCTTACATGCTTCTCTTCTCCCCCATTTTATCCTTACAACAACTCCATGAGGCAGATTACACTGACACATAGTTAGAGCTACCAGTCAAACAACAAGCTTCCATGGCAGAGTGGGTCTCCCAGAGTGAAGACTGAGTCTAACCACTATACCACTCTAGAATTGGTATAACAATATTATACCACTTCAGCAATCTGAGGCTCATAGGAGAAGATGCTCATGGCAGGAGACAGCTGCTTCATGAACTCAGCCTTGTACAGGATTTTGCTGTACACAGGGGGGAAAGTAAAGTGTTTAAGTATTACACATACATAGGGATAGAAATATCTGACATATGAAGCCATGACAAACATTATTCTATATACAATACTTCCTACCAAGTTCTAAATTTTCACCGAGTTTGCAGTGTTTTAACCAACTGTGTAGGGCTGGCGGTATCTGCTAGTTAAAATGCTTGTCCCCTCACATGTACATGTTCCAGATAACCCAGGAATATCAGATATTCAATTTTCACCTGCCAAAAAGACACTGTAGAATGTGTAAATAAATACGTTTCATGTCACTTTGGGATTTCTGTTCACTGAGCAGGAAATATGGGAGGGGATGAATCCTTATAGGCAGGATTTAATCTGACAAATTCCATAAGTAGTGTGGGCTAAATAAATAGCTGTTAAAGGTTTAAATGCTGCCCCTCAGCCACCAAAATCAAAAGTAAGAAACATTTCAAAACAAATTAGAAATCAAGCACTACAAACTATGGAAAACAGTAAAAGTTCTATAAAATCAGCTAGTACCTATGGGACAGTGAAGGGTGAGGGAATGCCAAGGCCAATTTAGCCTGGTACTTGAAACTAAGGAGATTAGGCATCAGGTAGTCAGACAAGGAGAGGAGGCCATCATGGAAGAGATCCTGTCAGAAGGCTAGAGTATACAGCAAAAGACTGTTGTTGTACAGACACATACGGGAATAAAGGTACAGCATGCCTGTTGTGGA